GCTGGGCTGTCAGAAGAGGGGGAGGAAAAGAGAGGTTCCTTCCTCTGTGTTTTATTCTTATATGATTATATAGAGTCGTTATTCATTTGTTTTAAAGCTCAATAAATAACAAAGAAGACCTTTGACCGGCACTTTTCTAATTTTGTCTGGAAGATTTTAACTGACATGTTGACCGGCGAAAAAAAATCTAACTGAAAGTCTGCCGCACGTTCCTTGGAAGAGGCTGAGAGGTGGGTGTTTGTCATCTGCTGGTGGACTAACCGGAGAGAATTACAATGCTTGCCTCGACGGGGAGGGATTGCATTGAAATACAGCAGCAGGAGCAAACGCTTGCGGGGGGGGAGAAAAAGAGCCACAGCGGAGAATAAACAGAAGGCCAACCTTCGCTGCTTTTGTGGCAGACTACAGCGCCACTTACATGCCTGGCATATGTACTAAAGCATCTCCAGCGCTTCCGAGCGGCAATGGCCGGCCGTGGCCCAACCCCACATTCCCGATAGGTGGAGAGTTGGCCATATAGGCGGAGCTCCTCGTTTCTGACGTCAGATACATTTCAAATCTGTATCTCTCCGACTAGCATAACGAGTGTTAGCGGCTGCTCGCTAGCCTCCGAAGCACTGGTAGGCATCTTGTTAGCCTCTTTATCTCGCGAGCTGAAGAGTTTAGTTTGTTGCTGACTTTTGCCGCGACTGCCGTGAGTTTTACTCATTTCAACAACGAAAAAGTTACTGAGGCACTCCTAATGACTTATCAAGTAAGAAAAGTAACAGAAGTCTGGGTTTATATGTTTAAAAGCGAAAAAGGATTAGGGAGCAAACGCCAATGCGACCGATCACTCCAACGCCATAACCTCCTTTGTCTTTATTTTAAGACACAACACAGTTTTGATAAAAAATAATCAAAGCATCTCAAATTCAGTAGCATTTTATTTTCTTTATGTTGCATATCCAAACACAAGTAGCAACTGTTGCAACAAAGACAAATCTGTTACAACATCCCGTTGAACAGGTTAGAGAACATGTATTAGCAAAATATTGACATCTTTGACGATAGACAGAGGGCAGGTTTAACTCTTACACAGGTGCAACAGCTTCAATGGAATAATCAATACAATTGTGTTCAAATGAAGTGGTCTTAAACAGTGCATATAAAAAGCTTTGCAAGTGTTAAGGCACTCAGAAAACATCCCTTAAACCTCAACTCTGATATCATTTTGAATAACATCATTAACAGTCTCAACACCTTTCATGATCCATCTCCTCTACTTACTACTTTTGAACCCTTCCAAGCCTTAATATTTACCTTTTTCCCCCTTCCGTGCCACTTACTGATTACATGAATTGGTCCGTGCTGTGATTCTGCTTCATGGTGAACGTTGCATGGCATAAATAGTGTGTATATATAGTGCAATAACCACTGTAACTGTGCGTGCCTTAATGTTTTGAGGAGAGATTATGATAACTTGATGCTCTAATGAGACGTTTAGAAGGTGAACCTGCGGCTGTTGGAGTGGCCCACTTTGTCCAGGTTGGGGTTGCAGGCGAACTGGATCATGGGGGGAGGTCCACACATCATGATGAGGGTCTCGTCACCTGGGGCGGGCAGGTGTTCCTGCACCATATCTTCATTGATGAAGCCTTGGCTGTACTCCCAGTCTGAAACAAAGGGGAAGTTTCAGAGATTGATAACAACTCAATGTAGCAATGTTACTATTGTGATACTATGACTTTTTATTTTTAGATATTTCTAAATACTATGACTTTTTTCTGATATATTTGATAAAAAACTTTTTCAAATCTCTTTTTAACATACATCATATGTCAACACCCTAAAGCGATTTTCTTCGACATACTATACTATGACTTTTTACTGACATACTAGATTATGCCTTATTATTTTAAGATTGTTGCCATTCTATACTATTAATAAATAATACTATTACTTAAAAAAAATACTAAACCTAACGATAACTTTTATTTCAAATACCACACTAGGACTTTTGTGTTTTAACATTCTGTACTGACATTTTTTTCGTGATATTTTAATGTCATACCATATTTCTTTGGCAAAGTATACAATATTTTTTATTTATTCTCGCCTATTTTCTTTTTCCCAGACATTCCCACCCGTATGTCTAAATGATGTTGCAACGACACATCAGTTCAACAAGGTCGGCTTTGTTGTATTTTCTTACAATGAATGCATTGTAAATCTAAGCTGTGTTGTAAATGGTTAGAAATGAAATAATATTAGTGTTTAATGTATTATATTAAACATATCAATGTATTTTATGGTATTTGTTTTTACATCTTTATATTCATTATTTATCTGCAATTATACATAACCTTTGGTTTCCTTTATTGATATTGGGTCTTTATTATTTAGCTTTATATTGAAAGAAGACAGTATCATTTATAACTGTTAAAACCATTCATCATCTGTGTACATATATATGTATCTTTGATTGGTGGCTCAAACATTGACATACTGTAGTTTACGTTTAATTAAGTGCGGCATTTCAGCACAATTTCAAGGTACTTTTATTGTTTTTATTTTATACTTTCCTTTATAGTTGTACTTCACATTTTGTTATGAGCGAAACCTTAAATATAAAATAAATGATAAATGTTCTCGGATGTCTAAAGGCATGTTACCTTCAGGTGCTCTGTCCAGGGTGAACCAGAGCTTAAACCGGTCCGGGTGGTTCACCTGGATCTCTTCCAACTCCGGACGCAACAGAATATCTTTTTCAGTCTGAGAGAGAGCAGGAAGAACAAGGTTTCATACAGGAAAACAGATCACTTATAGCAGCACTTCATCATGTGACCCTGGCTGAGACCCACCTGGTTGGCGAACAGCAGGTAGCACACCGTCTGGTCCTTTGGGTCCTTCATCACAGCGGTGATGATCTGCAACATCGGAGTGATGCCTGGAAAAAATACAAAAACAGGAAGATTACATTTTCAGAGCTGACCTGATGTGGATATCTGTTCCCTTTTGTTCCAATAAAGAAAAGCCAGATATGTCATGAAATAACTAACTGGATGGTTTCTTCTGTACAAAATATAAGGAAATAAAGTCATAGTATAATATCTGGAAAAAAGTTTTATAAAAAGGCATAGTATAGAATAGAATGTCGAAAATATGAGGGAAAACTGCATAGTATAGTACATCGAAAAATAAAACGGCGTATTATAGTATGTTGAAAATATATTTTACTGCAGTGAGAGTAGCCAAAGAAATTCTGTTGTACTTTGTATGATGACAATACATATATATTCTATTCTATTCCATTTTATTCTATTATATGAGAGAAAAAAAGCATAGTATAGTACATCGAAAAATTAAATAAAACAGCATATTAGTATGTCGAAATGGTCAGAAGAAATGGCATAGTATAGCATGCAGAAAAAAAGCCATTATAAATAATGTCAAAAAAGTCAGGAAAAAGTCACAGTATTGTATGTCGGACATGAGTCAGGATCTGCTAAACAACTCCCTGAGTGCAACACCTTGACAGACGAGTGGAGGAGTTTACCTGTTCCTCCAGCGATCATCCCAACATGTCTGGCTGTCTTCATCTCAGCTGGGGACTTTTTATCTGACTGAATGGCAAAAGCACCTGTTGAGGGAGAGTTAGAGCATCAGATCAGGCAGCTGAGCTGAGTAACAAACATCACTTTAGACCTCCTGTTACGGGCTCACCTTTGCCTTGGTACACCAGGAGACCGCTGGGGCCTCGAAAGTCAATAGTGTCATTGATCCTGAGGCTCTCCAAGAACTGACTCAACTTCCCACCCTCGGGGAATTTAGGATTAACATCTTTAAAGTAAATCTGACAAGAATTGGACAAAAAAAGAGAAACTCATTTAGGATAACAAAACAACACCTAACCATATACAGAAACAACTTTTCTTAAAAAGGCTTTACCTTCACCACTAAGTCCACGTAGCCTTTGTCATCATCACTGGACACCGGAGTGTACGGACGGACTACGAGCTTCCCGTCTACCTTTGCAGACAGATAGATATGCTGCCCTGGAGAGGAGACACACAACGAGTTATTACTCACAGCTTGTGTTCAGATTATAATCAACATTAAATGCATAAAGTATGTTATCTTGAGCAGCCATTTTAAAAACTGATCATTTATTTGTGTACTTTCTCCAACAAAAATCAGCTTTTACTGGTTCTACATTCAAGATGTGATGGTTTTCTGGGTCTCCTTTGTATTAAACAAGTTACTTCAATATATGGTTACACAAGCCAAAAAATTGTTATGACATCATAAAGTGGCCAAAATCTGATCAGCTCATTTTCAGACAGGTTTTAATATAAATGGATCAGGACAAAAAGTGAAAGAATCTGAAAATGAGCTGATCAGATTTTGGCCACTTTATGATGTCATAACAATTTTTTGGCTTGTGTAACCATAAGCTTGTGTAACCATATATTGAAGTAACTTGTTTAATACAAAGGAGACCCAGAAAACCATCACATCTTGAATGTAGAACCAGTAAAAGCTGATTTTTGTTGGAAAAAGTACACAAATAAA